AAGTTCTTATAGTTAGTTGGAGAGCGCTTTACTGCTGGTCTATTTACACATTGTACACCTCTATTTTAGGGGCATACTCATCACACTGACTATAGGCTGCTCAGACCTTCCATTTGAGTGAGGCAGTCACTGAATCTCCCCTCAGGCTAGTACAGTTAATGCGTTGTAGTCCAAGGTTCTGGGGGAAATGGTGGGAGCTCTGGTTGGAGTTTCCTGATCCCACAAGGTCATCTGTGGAAACAGTGGAGGTCACAGGAGGGGCCCGGGTCTAGGCTTGCCCCATGTGTGTCTCTGGCTGGAGTTCCTGGGTGCCACAAGGTGTCATCTTTTCATATATTTGTTTATTGTTTGTATTTCTTCATCTGAGAATTATATATTCATCTCAGATGTCCAGTTTTGGATTGGATATTTGAATTTTGGGGGACTGATTCTGTTTTTTTTTTTTTTTTTCAATTAATATGTTCTAGATAGAAGTCTTCGGCATGAGCAACAACTGGCTATAATTTTATCACTATATGTGTGGTCTTTTTACTCTGTTGGTGATTTTTTTTTTTTTGTTGTGAAAAATCTTTTTAATAAGCTGAGATCCCATTTATTGATGCTTTGTAGTATTTCACTTGCAGTCTTGGTTTTATTCATAAAGTCTCTGTCTAAACCTATGTCTTCAAGATTTCTACCTATTTCCTCTTCCAGTAAATTTAATGATTCTGCCTTGATATTTAGATCTTTGATCAACTTTGACTGTTATTTAGTGAATGGTGATAGACATGAATCTAGTTTTAGTGTCTGTCATGTAGCAAATCATTTTTTCCAGCATCATTTATTAAAGAATCTATATTTCTTCAAATGAACATATTTGGTTCCTATGTCAAAGATAAAGTGATTGAGGATGTTGGTGTTGTGTCTACATCCTCTATTCTGTTAAATTAATCCTCCAGCCTATTGTTTTGCCAATGCCATGCTGATTTTATAACAGCAGATTTGTACTACAACTTCAGGTCTGGGGTTGTTATGTCCTCTGATTTGTCTTTATTTCCCAGAATTGCTTTTGCTATTCTATACCTCTTCTCATTCCAAATGAATTTTAGGAATGCTTTCTCTAGATCTGTGTGGTATACTAAAGTATTTTGATTGGGAACACATTAAATTTGTATGGAAATTTTAAGAGTATGGCCATTTTCAGTATGTTGATTCTTCTTATTCAAGAGCAAGGGATGTCTATGCATTATCTGACATACTCTGACATACTCTTAAATCTCCTTTTTAACAGTACTGTAATTTTCACCATACAGATCTTTTACATCCTCCATTAGATTGACTCCTAAATACTTCATTTTTTGGATGTTACTGTAAGGGATGTGCTCTCCCTAGTTTCTCTGTGATTTTCATGTTTGTGTACAGGAATTCTCTTGATTTTTGAGTGTTGCCTGTGTATTCAGCTATGCTGATGAATTTGCTTAAATCTAGCCAGCTTTTGGTGGATTCTTTGGGATCTTCTATGTAAAGTATCACATCAGTGTCTAATAAAGATAATTTAAATTCCTATTTTCCTATCTTTGTTCCTTTTATCTCTTTCTCTTGCTTAATTGCTCTAGCTAATATTTCCAGGACTTTAGTAAATAGAAGTGGTTGTAATGGACACCCTTGACTTATTCCTGAACTTGAGGAGAAAGCTTTCAGTTTTTGACCTTTTAATATGATGTTACCTGTTGATTTGTCACTGATGGCTTTTATAGGATTGAGGTAAAGACCATTTAGTCAAATTTTTTGTAGAGGTTTTATCATGAATTGGTTTTGGACTATGAAATGCTTTTTCTGCATCTCTTCAGATGATTGCATAATTTTTGTCTTTGGTTCTGTTGATAGGATGTATTACATTTATTGATCTGCATATGTAGGACCATCCTGGCAACCCTGGAAAGAATATTAATTGATTGTGGTATATGATCTTCTCGATGACTTGGTACATTCTCTTTACCAGTATCTTACTGAGGTTTTTGTGCCTATATTCACAAGGAGGATTGGCCTAAAGTTTTTTTTTTTTTTTTTTTTTTTTTTTTTGGGGGGGGGGTTCTTCTCTGGTTTTGTAACAGAGTAATACTTGCATCCAGAAATTATTTTCAAATTACTTCTTCTGTTTTAATTTTCTTAGAGTTTCAGCATGTGTGCCATTATTTCTTCCCTAAGTTTTTTAGAATTCGATAATGAATCTGTCAGGCCCTTGATTATACATTGTTGGTAAATATTTATTACATTTTCCATCTCATTAGCTGATATCAGGTTACTTGAAATTTTTATACCTTCTCAATTTGGTTTTGGCAATTTGATTAAGACTAACAATCTGTCTATTTCTTCTATATTTTCTATATTAGAATATAGATTCTCTTGGTAGGTAGTAATAACCTTCCGTATTTCTTTGGGAAATGTGATTTTTCTTTTCATTCATAACTGCTTGAATTTATGTTTTTACTTTACTCATTTTGATAATGTTGGCTAGTGGTTTATCAATTTTATTTATTTTTTCAAAGAACCAACATTTTATTCATTGATTTTTTGTATTCTCTTAATCTCTTATGTTTATTTCTGCTCTTATCTTTATAATCTCCCTTGTAAAAGTTTTGGGTTTGATTTGCTCTTTTTCTATAAGTTTAAAGGTCAACATTAGGTCATTTATTTTAGATCATTCTGTTGTCCTAATTTGTGAGTTTATTGCTATAAATTTTCCTTTTAGAACTGCTTTCCTTGCACTCCATTGGTATGTTGTATAGGGGCTAAGGATTTAGCTTAGTGGCATAAGCACCTGCCTTGCAAGCACACAGTCATGAGTTTGATCCCCTCACAAAAAGAAAGAAAGAAAGAAAGAAAGAAAGAAAGAAAGAAAGAAAGAAAGAATCTGGATAGGAGATCCAACCATAGTGGAACATAGGTGCCTGAGCAAGAATGCAATTCACCTCCCTTCCTGGTAAGTGCCCCTGGTGCAAGCCAAGGAGAGAACTAGTCAGCATCTTCCAAGATCCAGCCATGGTGGAACTTAGGTGGCTGAGCAAGAAAGCAATCCACCTCCCATCCTAATAAGTGACCCTGGCACAATCCAGGAGAACCATTCAGTGTCTCCTGATCTGGCCATGGTGGAATTTAGGTGGCTGAACAAGAAAGCAATTCACCTCCCTTTCTGGTAAACACCCCTGGTGTGAGCCAGGGAGAGAACCAGTCATCATCTCCCAAGATCCAGCCAGGTAGATCTTAGGAGCTTGAGCAAGAAAGCAATCCACATGCATTCCCAGTAAGTGCTTCTGGCATGAGCCAGAAAGAGAACCACTCAGTGTCTCCTGTGAGCCTACCAGTGCACACGCTGAGAATGAAACATTCGATCCATTCCCCACCCTGCCCTTTGCAACTGGGGGCAGAGGTCTGAGCATTTGTCAGGGGGATGACCATATGCAATATAGCAAATATGGGAGATTTCCTTTTATATTTTGAAGGCAAATGTTGCTTTCACTGTTTTGCTCTGTTCTGATTGTTTTGTTCTATTCCATATTCTCTTTCAATTGGTTTTATAATGTGCTGGTTTTGGTTTGACTTTACTATACCTAATTGAATGGACAATTATTGTACAGACAATGAAATATACTATGGTACCTATTACTGTTATGGTACCCATTACTGCTGTGAAGTTCTGTACCAATTTCACAGCATTGTCTCAGTTGGCTTTACTCCGTGTTGCTCTGTTGTATTTTCCTACCTTCAAAATAAAATTGTTTTAAAAAAGAAGAGTGAGGATTGTTAGAATTTAACATGAAAATGTTCTCATCCCTTTTGTAGCAACATCAGGAAATTTGATGGAGACCACCAGACATGCTGTCATCAGAAAAGTAGATATAATTTAGAATGGACAGAAAGATTCCATTTGCAGAGAGGTTATAGCAACAGTAATCATCAGTGGCAAAACCCAAATGGTAAAATGATAGGTGCCAGATGCTGCTGGTAGTACTAGCTGAGACAAGCAAAATTTATCAGAGATATATGGAAGATAAGACAAACATAGGGAACTCTGATAAACTCCCACTTATTTACAGAGATTTGAATGCCTGTCTACCGACATACACATGCACATGTACACATACTCTAAGGAGAGACCAAAGAGAACCATAGCTAATACACCAATGTGTCCTGATTATACATGAGGGCTTGCAAAAATCAAGTACAGCCTAGCACAAATGTGTAAACCATCAGGTGATGAACGTGTGTCCTCAATCACATAGGGCACAAGGTGGAGGCCTTAGTAATTTGTTAACACTCACCCTCTGCTCCATCATTGCTTCCCATTAAGCTGTACTGACTCAGGAATGGTTCCTGAGAAGCCAAGTTTAACAATTAAAATAAGAACTGAAGAAAGAATAGGACATGGAAAATAGAGAGGCATGGATGGAGGAAGAGAGAGGACAGATAAAGGAAACAAACAGTTATATGTTTAAAAAGAGGTGCAGGAGTAAACAGAGACATCAATGACTACAAAATGCACGGTAAGTAAAACATACAAAACGTGTTCAAGCACAGAATTGATAAAAGCAAAGAATAATAAATGAGCACACAGTAACACAAAATACCAAGATGCTTTATTTGATGAGTCTCATACTGAAAACTATTCCTATTCAGCAATGAAAAGGAAAAAGACAGTTCCCAATTATCTTGTTTTAAGGTCCCATATCATTTTCATTGTTTTGCTTGCTTGGTTTTATTCTGTTTTGTTTTGTTTGATTTTATTATATCTGATGACATAGGCAGCTATTTCAAAGGTAGCATAATATATTATGGCAGCCATTGTTTAAGTCCTATTAACTTGATTTAAAATCCTTTTTCACTTTCACTGTTTTTTTAAAAAATTGGGTTTATTCTGTTTTATTTTGTTTTGCTTCATTCTCTTTAAAAAGATAGACTAGGCTTCATTTTTCCATAATGCAAGTTCTGTAATTAACATAAATAAATTACAAAAAGGATACTGAAGTTTCTCAATTAATTTAATCATTTAAACCAGAAAAAGAACATCAGTGTTTCAAATGTTCCAACAGTATCAGAGAGAAAAATAAGGGAAAAAACTAACAATATTACAGTTATTCTAAAGTCACATGGTGATTTGCATTTACTTGTTTATTTTCCCATTAAGTATATATTGAATGTAAGAAAGGCACCCTTGTCATGGTGCTTACCCTCAAGGAATTAAAAATTAAAAAAATGAAAAAAGACCTGGGTAAGAGCAATTCAGGACACAAGAGAGACAAGATTGTAACAGAGTGCAGTGGAAGGGCTCACTGAGGTCAGAGGAGAGAAAGGCTGCTTCATAGACAAGGGTCAACAAGATCTCTGAACAGTGATATCAGGAATGGCAATCAATGATTTAATACTACTGAAAAAAATAGAGGTGCTGCCCTATGGAGTATCAGAATATGGGCCACATTAACAAGTGATTAGTACACGAAAGGAGAAACAATTTAAAGATATTGTAGAAACATGTCATCATCATGCTGTCCAAAGTGCCTGGGAATTTGGCTTCTTGTTACCAAGGGAGAGGTTGGAGCAGTCATCATATAGGATACCCTGATATGTTCTGTGGAAAAATGGAAGAAACACTAGATAAATTGTAAAAGGTGCTACTATTGATACATTGCACCAACTTGAGAAGTTTAGAAGTTTAACAACTCAGCAGGGAAACAAGATCCTTACTTTCCAAACAAGGAAGAGGAAGGCAAAGAGATATTATTCTATTCAGCAGTGAAAAGCAAAAAGACTGCTCCCAATTATCTTGTTTTAAAGTCCCATGTCATTTTCATTGTTTCTACCCTGCGGGGGGTGGGGGGTGACCTGTGTAAAATATAAGTGAGGAAATCAGGCTTGCTCTTTCCTTTTTTAATTTTTTTTTCTCTTTCTGCCTTTTTTGTCTTCCATTGTTTTGAAATGTTGTCACTGTGCCATGCCACCTTGCTTGGAATCAGCTGACTATGGACTGAGCTCTCCACAAACTGAGAGCCAAATAAACAATTCCTTCCTTAATTCGGGGTGTTGGGTATTATGTCTTATCAATGAGAGAAAAGTAACTAAGACAGATGGCAAAACAAAAGCTAACAGGTGTAACAAACATGGAACAAAAATTAGCAGGTAAGGAGTAAATACAAGAACTCACCAACGTTTCTTACACAACAACACAAGAACTATCAGAAGCACCAGAGGCACTATCACTGCCAAAGCGATCATGATCACAGAAAGGCCATGTCCTGTGGTATTGGAGATATACATACATGTCATCTAAAACCTGCTATTGGTTCTGCTTTATCCATTAGTTTCCTTAAATAATATATGACTGGGTAAATGGCACACCATTCATTCTGTTACAGTGACTCTATTCCAATTTCTACCCAAAGAAGGATTCTCTGCCTTCCCCAAAATGTCTTGAATCTATGTGTTCCTCAGTTTTGAATTCTCATTTCCTGGAATTACTCAAGTTCATGTCTTTGTTAGTTTCTTCAACTATACCTGGCCTCATCAAACTTCCTCTGTTCTACCTCATGTCCAAGGGGCACCCAATCACACCTTCAAATCAGTTCTCACCCCAGTAGAGAATGATGTCTTGGTCTCTCAGGCTGCTGTGCCTCACTCGACAAGACAGCCCAGCTGCCTCTCTAGCTGCCACATCCAGGGTCACCCGAAGATACCATGTCCCATCAGCATGTGGAAGAATATCGCCTTGTTTAGTTTCCAGTTGTTCTTGTGCATCTTGCATCCACATCACCCAAATAGGCTTTGGGTAGAAACCAGAGACATGACAAGCCAGCAACAGTCGACCAAGCTCAAGGTTGGGACTACTGGACAGCCAGACCTCTGGTCTCACTGCATGGAGAAGAAAGAGAACTCACAAATGAATGTACTATACAGCTTAAGTACACAGATGCTCAAGCCAATATTCAGTGCCTTTTTTTTGTTTCTCTAGGAGCTAGGTCTCATCAGCACCCTCTTTTCCCCTTCCCTGTGCTAAATGTGAAGAAGGTGACAGGAAGAAGCATGACACAAGCAGACCAATCTCAGAGGAAAGGGTTAAACTGACCTTGTCTCTGAAGATCCATCTTTCCTGCATCCAGCAGACTCAATAGAAAACGGGGGCAGACATCTCTCTCAAAATAGTACTCGATTGCCTTGATGCCTTCATCATTATTGAGTAAATCACAGACCTTCTGGGCCCTAATGCCACCCTCTAGAGATGGCACCCACAATTTGTTTTGGAAACTCAGAAAATTTAATCCATTAAAAGCTACATTGAGGAAGCCTTTGGTGGTCTTTCCAGAGTGCAGCTCACATCCAGCTCTCACCTGTATGTCAAAGGGATCTGGGGCAAGAAAACAATGAGAACAAGAGGGTAAATGAAGAAAATAAGAGCAATGATATGAGAATTTAAGGGGCTGATCAGGAATTACCATAAAAAGTTTTTATGTAGATGTGCTGATCAACTAAAGATATACACAATTAGAAACAAAGGGAAGAAAATATGCTAAGTGTGAAAAATGGGAATAATAAAAGATAAATATCTTTAATTAACAAGAGATTGACCTGAGTGCAGTTTGAAGAAATGATGTGTGAGCTCCATAATATAAGCTATAGGGCATGAGAGGAACTGTTTTGAAGGAGATGAAAGTGCATTTCATGATGCATGACATTGGTCACCATGGTTGTTACACTGTGAATGTAGGCCTTTGGAGATATTGAAGAGCTGTGTATTCAGGAAATCAATTACAAAATCAGATAACTTTGTACCTCTGCATTGTGGACCACAGAAGGAGATAACAGTATAAAAGTTCAGATAAAAACTATTCCTGAAATAGCAAGAGCCTGGAAATTTTCAGTAAATATTTGGAATATACCTTAACAGACATATGCATGCACACTTTTATCTTGGAATGAGATAACAGATGTGTCCAAGCAAGAAATATGAAAACTTTCCCATAAATAGAATCCTCAAGAATCCCTTAGTTGAGTTGATTGAACTCACATTTGAACTGTAATTGACTGGCTCGTTTGTGAACCTCCAGTGTTAATTCAGAAAAGTAGACACGAATTAGAAGCTGCAGGTCTACCAGTTCTTTGTTGCTGAAGTTACCTCTGGACCAGGTGTGCAGGAAAATTATTGTGCCTGATTCACTGTCCCAGCCATGAGTCTGCAAATCATCCAGCCAAGCAGAGCCACGATTTTGTGCCCAGGATTGGTTGGCATAGGATGAGGTCAGCATTCCATAAAGTGAAATGTTTTCCTGGACCACTATGGAAGTTCAATCAGTACAAGGAAAACAGAAGAAGAAAGAAAGAAAAAAAGAAGAGAGAAAATGAATCAGTTACTAGATGAAGAAGTAAAATGCTCAGCTTAGCAATGACATTCTCCTTACAAAAGACCCCCTGTTCTAACAGGATTCTCAAGAAAAAATAGATTACACCTGGAGATAGGGTGCTCAAACATCCAGCCTTCCAGAATTCTAAGTAATTTATCTTAAGAAGGCTTGCAAAACTCCACCCAGACCCAATCAAAAGGACAACTGATAGAGATGTTCTTACCATTTTCAGTGATACTGCCTCCAAGGACAACATCCAGAAATATAAATTGTAGAAAGAGCATGTCATCTATAGGTGTCTCCTTTTCTCGCCAAAATGTATCCTTTCTATAGCGTACAACTTTCTTCTACCAGAAGTGGACCTCCGCCACCAGCTAATGATACTACCAAGTAAGTCTGAAGCTTCCTGTGACCTTGGGCCTCTTACACAACCTCTCATTTCCCCTTTATGTTGAACTAGTTATTCTCTCCTCACTGGAATTGAACTGCTCTCCTCTTCACTAAGCTCCTTCTTACTTACAGAACTACATCAATCATTCCTGGAACAAGTGGTATGTGACATTTATTAAAGGTTACTTCATTTTTATGGATCTTGTACTTCATCTATGAAATGAGAAAACTTACTTCGTGCTTTCCTCTGATCACGCTTGCTTTAACCAATTGCAGTTCTTCCAGTTTTTCCACTTAGCTATGCATCTGAACTCCATCGTGTCCCCACTTTTGTCCACTCCATCTCTCTCCCTTTTGAATAGTCTCTAACCCTTCTCTTTCCCATTTTATACCTTCTTCTACCACTATCTCAGTTCTCAATTCTCATTGGTGCTTTTTTTTAAATTGTTCCTATTTTTAATTTCACATTGCAGCCATCTGCACCAGTCATACTATACTACATGACTATAGTATAAGATCCACTATTGAGTTTAATCCATATATTCTTTTAAGAGAATAGTATCTAATCTGTAATTGATATTAAGTAGCTTACTAGGTATAAGAACATACATAGATTATCAATATAGTTCATTTATCAATATATTTCAAACAACAGAAGTATACTTAAATGGAGAACTAAAAGTCATCATGATATTTTGTTTTAGTATACAGAATCTTAGATACAAATATATTTACAAAAGTGTTTTCTAGTGAAATACGATAGCTGACAGGTACATTCTGATTCACTGGAGTGTCCATAATATAAAATCCTACAGGAGAGGCTGAGGATTTAGCTCAGCAGCATAAGAGCCTGCCTGGCAAGTGCATGGCCATGAGTTCGATCTCAGTACCAAAAACAAAAAATCCTGGGGGACAAGACTGCACTTCTCCCTGAGGACCAACTGCTGTGCAGTGTGCAGAAATAGAAATAATTCTTCTTGTGAAGAACAAGAGACTGCCTATAGCAGAGATCAGAAACGAATTAAGTTTTGTGATATGACAAATACATTGGCAGAAACCATCATTTATGAATATTCAGGGATATTTAAGTAATCATGAAACATTCTTGGTTGTTAGTAATCCTCACTGCTTACTATGTATGAACAGATAAAACTAAAATCATTTTGAGACACAGACAATACTTCTTTTTATAGTGTCCCCAAAATAATATTCATTGAATGAAAGTGTGGACATCCTTTAAAAGCAAATTTCCGACACTATTCCTATTCTAACTCATGTATTTTATTATATATATTTACTGTGTAAAAAATGATGTTTTAATAACAATAGTGGCTTTCTCAAACTTGTCAATATTAAAAAAAATGGTTGGAGGTAACTTACAGTAGACTCTTCCTATTATAGCCAATATTATTTGCCAGCCTCCATGAGCTACAGACACCATATAGAACACAATGAAATTTAAATCTTCTTCAAGTCATTCCCCAGCACCAATCTTCAGTTGGTCGATGGTAAGCTCTTAGTTTAGAGTTTTAGGAAGTGACAACAGGTACAGTATCTGCTATCACATATTTTTCTCTTCTCCATAGTTCTACGGGAGGAGAACAGTTCTTCTGAACTCTGGGCTGTGGGATGTGAGATACTGGAACCATGAGACATCTTCAGGCTTGATCATTTAAGATATCCCATTTGATTTTCTGGCTCTGTACTACTGTCTTGCAATTTGCCTTGTGAACCACAGGTGGTTGCCTTCTTCTTCTGCTAAACTCAGAACCTAGTATCACAAAGATAATGAGGTAGATGGAACAAATTACCAAAGGCTCAGTGGTTTGATTCTGTAACCCAGGTGATCTGACGAGGATCAAACCCCAGATAGAGTGATCATACTCACCATTGTGAGTGTGAATGCATGTCTATCATCAAAACTCGCATGTTGAATCTGTAATCTTCATAACAGTAGGGTTATGTTGGACATACAAAGAAAGTAACTGACAAGTGAATTACTAAAGGTGGTGCCTTGATCCAATTGGGTAAGTATCCTTATATCCTTATAGTAATTATAATACACACTGGCCATGTCTCCAGGCAGAAGCCTGCAATTCCATTGTAATCGCATCACTTTAGAAGCTGATGCAGGAGGATCACAAATTCAAGCCCAGCCTGGGCAACTAAATAAGGACATTTTTAAAAATTTAAAAAAAAAAATCACAGGACTGGAAATGTAACTTAATAGAAAAATACCATAAAATTCCAAAGTAAACACCAAAGAACCAGTGCTTACTCAATATTCCTCTTCTCTCTTTCCCCTTCTTGTGTGTGTGTGTGTGTGTGCATGTGTGTGTGTGTGCATCCATAAACCAATCAAAGAAAGGTCATGCCAGCACACAGTAAGCAGCTAGCTGTCTATAATCCAGGAAGATTTCCCCCTGTAAAAAAACTGAATGTGCTAGAAACTTGATCATAAACTTCTATTTATTATAACTGAGAAAAATGAACTTTTGTGTTTTAAACCACCCAACTAGCTTACTGTATTGTTTCATAGCATTATGAGCAGAATAACGACACTCACCTAATAGTGGTAGTTCTGGGAAACCCCACCTGAGTCAGCAAACATGAGGGGTTGCCCTGTACATCAAAGAACAGAAGAAGAAGGGGGAGTGGGAGGAGGAAGGCAAGAGGAAGGAGAGGGCAGAAGATATAATCTGAAAGCAGCTTACTACCTGGGAACAAGGTTGGGGGGGGCATAGTTCTCTTTCCTGAATTCACTAATGAGATAACTCATTCTCTCAGGAAAAAGTGAACAATGAGAGAAAAAAAGTATTTAGGAAAATTCTGTCTCAAGACAACCATTAGGTTAGTAACACTCTTGCTCTTACCATAATAAGACCCATCCAGTCAGCCAGGTACTTAGAAAACTGCTTTCTTTGAAAACTTTATTCCTTTAATTCCTACAGTCATCACATCAACTCTCTCCACTTCTGAAATCTGCCTTTCTTCTCAAGCCTCACTGACACTCTGCTTTCATCATTAGGGACACAGGTCAAAACCACAGTACCCTATCTGAATGTCACAGATACATCTGATCAGTTCTCTGCTTCAGAGTTGCTATGTCAAATGTCAACATTTCAGACACAGTGGCACATGACTGTAATCCCAGCCCACTGAAGGCAGTGGCAGGAAGATTATTGCATCTGACATCAGGCTGGGCTATGTGGTGTGACCCAGTCTCAAGAAAAAAAAAAAAAAAAAAACAAACAAACAAAAAAAAAAACAGTGAACTTAATCATATCAGTCTCCTTCTTAAAATATTTTAATTGCTTTGATGAAAACAACACAAACTCCTAAGTATATCTTTTTTATACCCAGAGCCTTTTGTATATTAACCCCCAAAATGGAAGGGAAAGGGTGCTATACAAACAGAAACCAGCAGATTATTTATGCTTGTGAATATTTGTAGGGCTAAGAATCTGAAATTTATATAAAATGCTATAAAGACAGAAGAAATGTGATAAATATGACCTCTGGATAATCCAAATCCCTAAAAGGGAAATCTGAGAAGAGTAGGACACACTGTATTAGCTCCCAGTCATAGCAGAGGGTCTCAGCTACCTGGGAGAGCCCAGCATTCTTCCTTTCTTACCAATTTTGCCAAGCTCTTTTCTGGATTTTTTTTTTCCTGAAGCCATAGGAACCTCCATGTTCACTTTTGCCTGAGCTGTTCTGTGACCCTCCCTTGAATCTACTCCAAGGGGTGCTTTTGTCTCTTGGCAGATGGAGCTATTCCCAGGACTCTGATGTCATATCCCATCCCACACCATCCCACACTGTGATCTGTCATTCCCTTCCCACAAGCAGAAACCCCACCCACTGCCCACTTCCCTTTCAAAGAAACCCCACAGCATCCCACAGCCTCATGCTGCTATCAAGGTTTTCCATTTCCCCCTCAGCTCTTTATTTTTCCCTCCCAGGTGTCTCTCTAATCTGTCTTCTTCTCTGTCCTACCTACAACAGGAGAAAGGCCCCAGAGCATCAGGATGAACCGCTGGCCCAATCTCTTGCCACACACCATTAAGTGACTTGATTGGAAGAACTTGATTAGAGAAACATCAAGTTCTCTGATCCCATTTCAAATTTTACATTCTTATTTGATCTATGTTCTTCTGATTTTCCATCTATAGAGTCTTTTCTTTATCTTCTCTGCTACCATGTCCTCATTTCTTAATTTTTGTATGTGTTCTCATGCTTTTCTCACCTTTTATCTGAGTTCCTTGGGTTTCCTTTTTATCTCACATCACTTATACCTAAACTCCCTACCCATTCATGCTAAGGACCACTCTACTGTAACTAAATCTTGAAACATCAAAAATTGTCTCATCACTCAAGTCTTAGATTTTTGTAAGTAAATATATAAACCACAGTAAGACATTTATATTGCAAGGTAGAATATAATGAAAAAATTTAAAATTACAAAACACATACATATTTGATAATGTTCATTTAAAAAGTATTTATATATGCCAACAATGAATTCGCAATAATTTTTAAAAAAACCACTGGCTGGGTCAGCCCAGTTACCCTGAGTGGCAGGGGAACTGCCTGAACTGAGTTGGATGAGTTGAAGCCCTGCATGGTGCACTCCCCCAGCCATGCAATCTCAATATTACACTCAGAACCTGTTAGGGCCTTGCTCAGCACCTCCACACAGCCAGAAACCTGTGGTAGGTTGCTTTGGTCCTAACTGGGCTCTGCTGCTTAGTGACCCTGAGTGTCAGGGGAAACTCCTAAACTGAATACCACAAACAGAAGTGAACTTCACCTAGCTGTGCAACCTTGGTGCCTCACTCAGAACCTGTTAGGGCTGCACCCAGCCTCCCTAAACAGCTGGGGATATTTGGTG